GATAATGATAATAATAATAATAATATTTGTATTCATATTTTAAGACCAGCGACTCCTCAGACAATATTCTTGTAATACTCCTTCGAGTTGCGACCAAAGGGGAGTAAAAAGCCACTGATTTAAATATACTCTGGCTGTTACTATGAAAGTGATTGCCTCTCCTTGCAAGTGCAATGTCAGCCTCTCTGGACACAACGCTGTCCATTGTCCACACCATGACAACCACAGGTATATTTTATCCTTTTTGGCGGATTATGGTCTTGCTTTATAGCGGCATCTTCGTTAGCAAGCTAGTGCAGACAGGCATTGGGTACTTTAATGCAGGCAGGGCTACAATGCAAACGATAAGTGCCACTCCAACGAGCGCAGTAATTTTTGGTGTGAATGGCCAGAAGGCACACGTACATATTATGAAAACGCCATCTGGCGCATTGATGGTAATGCTGCTTGGGAGGAAGTTGGGGAAGTGAAGGAAGACAAAGACAAAGATTGATGAGATGGCTGTTAAGTATGGAGGCCGGTTGAGATGAGAGAGACAGAAAGGCCACACTACAGACAAGGCGAAGCGGAGCGAGGCGGGGCGAGGTGGGGCGAGGCGAAAACATTGGGTGGCCACGCCGGGGGCGAGGCTGAGCGGGCGATACAAGAAATGCAAATAGAAGTCAGTGAATGCCTGTATGTAATAGTCTTTAGCGTCTTGACAGATTTAAAACGGCACGCAGATATATTGCTTTGACTTGGCAGAATACATACAGAAATTAGACCACCCAATTCATAGTTCTTGACTTTAAAAAAATGTGTTTCTACGCCCCCGTTGACACAGTTTAGATCATTTAGGAGGCAGGTTTCCGGCCCTGCCTGTTAGGGTCAACCCGAGTTGAGAGAGAAAAACGTTCTGACAGAAAGACCGAAATACTCAATGAAAATATTCTCCACACTCTGGAATCGACCTCGGGTCCCCAGCGCACGATACCCTACAGATGCCTGTTAAATTTATTAGTATATTTCAAAGGAAAGCATAGTCAGCACTTTTTAAATCAATGAAGATGTAAGGATGTTTTTCTTTGAACAGAATCCTTTTGGACACTATGACAGAGATTATTTTAAATTCTGCCGGGATGGCGGCTTAATGTCATACACTTCTCGATGTTCAACTATTGAGAGATCTTAGATATGCACAATAATGTGCACAAGGGACCCCAAACATTTTTAGTTCTAATCCGAGAAGATGATGTGCTCGGCCTCAGGAAACCAAAGAGTCGTGTGTGTCAGAGTGAAAGAATGGGTGAATGAGCGCCCGCGCGCAGAGAGAAAGAAATAGAGAAAGAGAGAGAGAGAGAGAGAGAGAGAGAGAGAGAGA